ATTTTGCTTTATAGTATTAATTATAAACTACTAATTAACTCCCTTATTAATATATTGCTTCTTTCTTTATTCAATGTTTTACTCCCCTCTCCCTCATTATTCTCTCTGTATAATCTGTCTTTAGCTTTTTATTATAATGATATTAAATCATAAAAGTACTTTTATGACTACTTAGCTTAATGTTTTCTAGTTGCATCTTGTATGTGTTTTGTTAATTCTTCACTGTCTTTTAGTGTTGCATTGTCTTCTACTGTATGTATCAACCGCATTTTCTTTATTCAATCACCTGCTGATGGGCACTTGTGTTGTTGATATTGTAAATAATGCTGTAATGAACCTAAGTATGCATCTATCTGACCATGTAGCATGTCTTATTTCTTTGGGATATACACATACTACTAGTAGGATTGCTAGATCAAATGATTATTCTATTTCCAACTTTCTAAGGAAGTACTAAACTGCTTTCCATAGTGGTTGCACCATTTCACATTCACTTCAGCACTGTATGAGAGCTCCAATCTCTCCACAGTCTTATCATGCTCTTAGTATTTTTAAAAGCAAAAAATTACAAAGCTATATAAAAAGCAAACATAGATTACAAAAGACACTGTAAGTAGTTAAAATCTAACAAGTTCAAAGAAATATAAACACCATGGATGAACTTTAGCTACATTTAGGACACTTCTTTATGAGTATGTGATGATATGACTCATTGTACTCTAAAGTGCCTGGAAATATGATGTGGAGAGACATTTCCATCTCTAATCTAAAGCTCCACTCACTAACTCTCATTGGGGATGTGTACCTTTATATCTGTTACTTTTGGTATACAGATGAAGAAAACCAGAAGGCGCTCATCTTACATAGCAGATTTACTGCTAAAAAATAAAGATATTAATAATGATTTTTTTATTTTATTATTTTTGTGTGCGTGTACCGTCAAATCAGATCTGACTGGTACAGGAGGAGACTGTCCCTCCTTCCCCGGCAGAGCATCTGGTGGATTTGAACCGTTCAGCTCTGGAATTGTAGTTGCAGCTCCTTGCCACTAGGCCACCAGAGCTCCCCTAATAATGATTTTTTTATATTTTAATATAAACAAAATTCTTTTAAAGTTATACAATTTGGTAAACTTAAGCTACAAGGTGCCAGTTTCCCCAACCTTTTAACACCTTCCTGCCACTTATCCCCTAATTTAAGAGCAAATGTAAGGTTTTCTAAAGGTTGTGCTACGATTATCTCCTTGCTCAAAGTACAAACAACAGAAAATGAAAACAATACAAAAGGAGACTTATACATCCTAACTGATAAAGGCTTCATTATTTTATATAAGATCACTAGATATAAAGTTCTGAATGTAACTGAAGGCTTCAAGAACTTCACAAAACAGTTCTAATTCAAGCCTGTGAGAGCTAGAAAGAACCCCTAGCAAATATTCAGCCTGTATCCTCACCTTACAAATGATGGATCTAAGGTCCAAAGAGATTAAGTGACTTACCCAAGGTGATGTCAATGAGGGGCTAACACAGTCTGATTCTCTTCTTGACTCTAACATGAAGGCTTTATTTCTGTTATATTCTCATTGATAAAAGCAGTATTTACCATTCACCATCCAAGTCAGTACTAGAACGTAAACTTCTACAGTTCTAGGATACACTAACAACTCTAAACAGAGGAAAGTCTGTCTGGTCCAAGTACACAGAAGACTGCATTTCATTCAGTGAAGACTGATTCAATAGCCATAGGCAATTCATAAATCAATTTGGTAAGGAAAAAGAGCTTTCAGATTCAAGCTACGAAAACAAAGCCCCATATATATATATGTAAACCCAAAGAAGGGTCAATTAATGTAAATAGTTTAACAAAACAATGAAAACAGGCAAAGAAAGAAAGAAACCCTTTTCTGCACTTACCAGCAAAGCATTTGGAACAGAGATTCATAGTCTTGCTGGACCTAGGGCAACAACAAAAAAAACAAACAAAAAAAAGAGCTAAAAAATTCAGTAAAATTCTAATAAAAACTTAGAAAGTTTGAAATGTAGACAAAGATTTTCCTAGCCAAGCAACTAAACAAGCTAATAACAAGTCCCTAGTCAGCCGCCCTCCTCTCCTTTTAATAAAGCAAAAGCAAACAAAAATAATGTACTTTTTAAAAACTATGAGGTAAGTCAGTACTTCCCTTTAATGTGATTAGCAGATTAAGCAACAAGTTCAAAGTAGTTACCTAAAAATACTGTATTATGCAAAAAAACACACATAACAACATAAGTCAATTTATCCTACACGATCACCATATTTTCTGTTTGCATTACAACAAATATACTATCAAGTTATCATGAAAGAGTAAAGATTTTGCATCTATAAGGGGTGAAATGTCCTCTTCATATACATACTTATTTATCTATATGACACCTCTTGAATTGATCTCTTATTCTTTGCCTTTTCCTCATTCTAGTTCCTATATCAGATTTTGGTCACATTTTGACCTTGCTGTTTTAAATTCTTTCATCAGGTGTTCCCAATCAAATTCTTTTTTTTATGTCCTTTCATTTGTTAATAATAGCTACAATTCACTGAATACTAACTTAGACAGGCACTTAACATATATTATCTTATTAATCTTTCTCACATCCTGAGATAGGTATTACCATAATGCTTTGCTTTTAAGATGCTCTTTGTAGAAAAAAATTTCTATTACTATTTCTGTAACCAAGAAACATCTTATAGTGGACTACAAATGATGAATAATTTGATCCTCCTAAATGTCCTCTATTATTCAATTGGAGCAGTCTTAGAAATCAAGGACATACAATTTCATCCTCATTTTAAAACTGAGCAGCTTGCCAAAAAGTCACGCAGCTTAGAAATTACAGAAATATCTGACTTCTGGTCTAAACTATCTAGCTCTAAAAGCAATCATACTATCCTTTGTTCACCAGAGAACCTGGCACCACACAGCAGCCTAGGTACAATAGGGCAGGCAGTCAATTGTAACAATTTATCTGTGATGTGAATCTTCTCCCAAACAGACTCCAACTCTTCTTCCAAAACTTCCTAAAATGCTCCATATGTTAGACAAGCGGACTCATTTATATATAGGTTCTTTTCCTCTAACTTCTCTCCTAAAATCTGAACCTTTGCCACATTTGTCCTACACACAGAGTAAGCTCATTTTCTTCTGCTCTAAACATTAACTGTAAATTCTCAGAAGTATTCTCTACTAACTGCAGCAACCCCAGACCTAACAGTAAAGTTGACTCATATTATTTATGGTTAATTATGTTCTACAAAGCTGACAAAATGAAAATGATCACTAAACCACAGCTTTTAGGGCAAATACAGGGTTAAGCTATGGTCAAAACATTTTCCTCAATTTATCAACACATTTTCTTGCTTTGTGTTTTTATTGAAAGGCATTTTATTTAGGATGTACTGCTGACTGATTAACATTAAACTTACAGCCAACAGCACTCAAGTGTGAATAAAGTTCATCTATTAAATATATTTTCTCTGTAAAGGACATCAGAGTTTCCTTGTTCTTAGATAGCACTAGATCACACAGCACTAACTATATTTAGGGGCCATTTTAAACAGCAAAATCGTCAACAAAAAGGGGGAGCAAAAGAAAGGCAAAAAATGTGACCCTACATAGACCACAAAAGGGCATCTGTTTATAGCATTAGATAAAACAAGAAGGCAGGCTTTGTTCAATCTCGCTGGGGAATATATGAGTTAACTCAAATTTTTTTACCATGTCTGAAAATAACTGAAATATTTGCATGTTCTGAAAATACTGTAAATTATTGACTTTGGATTATAAATATATTTTAGCAAGTAGGCAAACTGAAAAATACAGAATTCATGAATAGCGAGAACTGACAGGAACTGTTACAGGATAAGAATATGGGACATAGGGTCATTATTTCTCTTTCCCAAAAGAGATATTTTGAGGACTTTTTGTTTAATACAAACATATCAAAGACAGACAGGAAATTTAAACATCAATAAATAAAAAAAAAAATAACTGGACAAATAGGTTAGGAGATGTGATCTAGTATTTATATGACAGCCATGATGCTTTTACCTCCATTTTGCCAATGAAGAAACATAAGTTCTAGGAGAGTAAGTTACTTGCCAAGGATCAGAGAACGAAGGAACAGTGGACAAACCAGGTCTGCCTAATTCTATAGCATGTATTCTTTTTATCATGCCAACTTGGGGCCTGTACTCAAGAAAAAAAGAGAAACTGAGAGAAACTTCCAAGTCCCAAGCCAGCACTTGGATAATTTTGGAGGATGCTCCCACAACTGAAGATTTAATCAAGATTTTCAGGTAAGATACTTTTATGGTAATTAAGTCAGCTCCATGAGAAAATAAAGCCTCTCACTTGAAAAAAGCCAGTACCATCTCTTATTCAAGAAATCTTTTTTCCAAATCACAGGAAAATCACCAAGACTCCCAATCATCTCAGTTCAAGCTTAAGGACTTCTCTTTTACTAACCCCCAAACGGGTCCCTTCTGATGCAGCCACTATTTCTGTGGCACTAGCTCACAGAGTCACAGTGCACCAGAAGTAGCCAGTTTGTTGCCTCTGCTGCTCCTCTTGTCTAGCAGACATCATGGAAAGGCTGCAATGAACAACTGAAGCTAGCTCAGCACTAAAGGTGCCAGTGTAAACATCTGGTTTCACAAAGATGACGAGGAAACAAAATGGCAACTAGCATTTTTCTCATCATCTCCCTGATCTCTCTTCACAAAGGTGATGTACTTGAAATACTGTGTATTACCTAAGTGACATCCAGTAGATTTTTTTTTAATGTAGCATCAATCAAGTCATGAATGGAAAAAAGAAAAAGTGCAGCAAAGGACATTATTACTTAAAACCAATGTTATGAGAAATAAAATCTATTTCATCTATGGATATAATGTTGTTGCTGTTGTTAGGTCCATTGAGTTGACTAGGAGAACAACTCTGAATAAAAGGTCTGAACCTTGCCCTATATTGCCAAATAATGCCACAGGTCTGAACTTAAAGGAACAGATTCCTAATGTTCAACTATAAAATCTAAGGTAAATCACAGACAAGTAGGAAATAGCGATTACGTATACTGTAACACACACATAAAACTTTGCACAAAGTCTTGAAACAGATGATATTTCTCTACACAGTAGCAAGTACGAGAAGTAGCTATAATTCATAGTAAGTACATAGATTTATCTTTTTTTTTCCTTGTTGCGTGCCATTGAATCAGATCCGATCCGCACAGGAGGAAGACTGCCCCTCCCTCTCCAGCACAGCATCTGTTGGATTCAAACCGCATGCACTTTTGGGATTGCAACACAGCTTCTTGTCACTAGACCACCAGAGCTCTCTAGACAGAATTCTTATGTTCTCATTACTCCATCAAAAGTGCTCATTGGGCACATCATATTCCTAAAACCAAAGTGTAGTAGGTAGAACATGTCCACGCAAAGATATTAAGCCCTTATCTTGAAAATCTGTAAATGATACCTAATTTGGAAAAGGGTCTCCACAGAGAAAAGATAATGAGATGCAGAAATTACTCCAGATTAGCCAGGTGGGCCCTAATGATACTACATATATCCTTATAAGGACAGGCACAGAGGGAGTTTAGAGAGACAGAGAGTGAGAAGGCAATGTGACTAAGGAGGCAAAGATTGACATGGTGTGGCCACAAACATAGACTGCCCAGGAAGCAACCAGATGCTGAGAGGCTAGAGACAGATTCTCCCCTAGAGCAAGCTGAGGGAGGTTACCCCTGAATTTTTAACATGTAGCCTTCAAAACTGACAGAATAAATCATATGCCACCAAATTTGTGGCACAATGTTACAGTAGCCTAAAAAACAACCAATTGTATCATGTCATTGAGTCAGAACCAATTCACAGCTGGCTCCAGTTGAGTTTTCAGGTACAGGAAAGGTGCATTAAGTCAAAACTCTTCACAAGACCAATAAGCAACTTCATGATTGATAGAGGAAAAAAGTGAAATTGTCAATGATTTCCTCTTCCTTGGATCCACAATCAACAGTCAGAACAGGAGAGATGTCCTGTACTGGGGAATTCCACTGTCAGGGACTCCTCCAAAATATCAAGAAGCAGCGATGTTAGTTTGAAGACCAAGGTGTGCCTGACTCGGGCCATAGTCTTTTCGGTCATTTGTTTTGTCTCTTGAGAGCTGGACAATGACTAAGGATGATTAAATAAGAATTGATATCTTTGTTTGGAGATAAGACTGCCATAAGAATAGAGCTATGTCTGGGGAAAGTGCAGCCAAAATACTCCTAGGAAACGAGGATGGTGATGCTTCATCTCACACACTTGGTCATGTTGCTAGGAAAGGCTAGTCTTTGGAGAGGGACATCATACTTGGAAAAGGTGGAAGGTTAACGAAACAGGGGAAGATCCCTAACTAGATGAACACAGTGTGCAGCAATGGGCGCAAGTATGTCAGAGATGATGAGGATGACAGAAAATAGGGCCAAGTTCAGGTATGTTGTTCATCGGATTACAATTAGTTATACTCAACTGAACTGCACCTAACAACAATCATACAGGAAGAGATTGCATCTCTTTCTCCCACAGAACTGGTAGATCTGAACTGCATGCCTTTGGGATGGCAGCTCAATTCCTTTACCAAAAAATAAACAAAGGTTATGTCTCTGATCTCATCTTAATCTACCACTCAGCAACAGACTAAAACGATCACACTTTTTAAAACAGTCCCTTCTTTGCCTGTCGCTCAACTTCTAGATCAAAACTCCTATCCTCCACCCTCCTCCCACTTAACTACTCCCTCTTAAGGGACCACAGCTGGCTCTTCCTCCACTGTAAAACCTTTATCTCAAAGTCTCTAGATTCAGTCTACAATCCTCTACTTCTTTCCTAGTGATCTCATGCAGTCCTGTGGCTTTAAATGCTGAATCTGCACAC